CTAGAGCAATATTTATAGAATGTAGGATTATATACTATACTATTATATTATATTGTATTCCCTAAGATAGCAATCAGTAGAAATATCTTAGAAAACTAAAAAGAAATGTTATCCTTTCCATATTATTTTGAACCTGCTTTTAGTTAACATGGAATAACCTAGAATTAAAAGACATGTGCCCATAAAAAGTGAAACGATAATTTAAGACCCAAAATATGTTATTTTTCCAAAATACTTTTTTTTAATTTCAAGCTCAAATGGTACCATTAAATATTTGGTGTATGTTTCAGAAGTAATCTATAAGTAAGATTCATTGAAAAATATTGTCAACCTATCTGGTAACAAAATATACCTATTTTAAAAATAGACTTATTTTTCTAATTGAAGTTATATTGAACTTGAGTATATTTGCCTTGAATCTACCTTAAAATAATTATTGATGGAAAAACAATGACAACGTGATATAATAGAAAAATACATTGTTTAGTTTAAAAACTGGCTTTCTAGTTGCAGCTCTTCTGCTAATTAGTTGCATGACTTGGGTTAAGTCATTGATCTTGTCTGGATTTCATTTCCATCTGTAAAATTGAGAAGTTTAAATAAAGTGGATTCTAAAGTTTCTTCTGGATTGAAAGTTTTATTATTTATTTGAGAGTTTAAAAGACTACAGTGTTGGGCCAGGGATTTAGCTCTGGTTCCACTGCCTGCCTCGCAAGCGCAAGGTCCCAAATTTGATCCTCAATACCAAAAAAAAAAAAGACTACAGTGTTTATTAAGTCCTCAAGAAGCTCAAAGAGATGAGACCAGCACCACTGATGTGAAGGAGGAAACAAGGGCTCACATCTCTAGCTTCAGTATAGATTTTTGAGGGGTTATAAAGGCCTCATGAGAAAGCCATAAAAATGAGATAATACAATAGGAAACTGAAGCCTATGGTAGATAAATAAATAAGTATACAAAAGAATTTGTATTGTTTTTTCAAGAAAAATTGAAGAAATAGCCTAAGAATAGTTGTAAAACTTTTCCATTTATACCACAAATATTTAGAGCTAACTATGGCTGGGTACTGTTATATGGAAGATGAGAAAGATGAGTTGAGTTTGGATTAAGCTCTAGCTAATGCTCTTTCTAAAAAGGAACAATTCTCTAGTGGCTCAAATGAACTGAGTTAGGCAGGATGCATGAGCAATCTCCTGCTGACATGACAATCCACTATGCTTCAAATTGTACAGTAAAATCTTGCCTAATTACCATGTTTCCTAAGTATTCTTTGTTGCACCCTCTCAAATTTATCAGTATTTTCTTTTCCACTCTTGCTGGGTTTACTAAAAGGGTGGGAGATGATTTTGGCTACATGCTTCATTTTCTTCCCACATTACAGTAAGGGGGCAGGATAGCAATATGACAGAATGAATAAGCTAGAACAGGACTTCAGCCTCCTCTAAGGTAGCTTTTCTCCTTGTAGTGTCGTTGTAAAGCTGCTAGTTTGCAGAACAGTCTTTTTTCAAGCATAATCATCAAAACATGCCACAGAGCTAACTGTGGGTTCCATGATGCCTCAGTGAGGAATCAGTCTTCTGTTCATTGTAGTCTCTAAGCCCCTCAAGTAAGTACCAAGATTCTTTCCAAAACCTTTCCCTTAATTCAGTGCAGCAGTAGATAGTGCTCTGGTTAAGTTCAAACCATAGAAAGCACTTTAAAGTGGTCCGTTATTTTGACTTTTTATTTTGCCATTTCTTTCATTATTTGACCAAATAAGAATTATTCTTGTTTTCAGTGGTTTTTCTCATTTATTTTTTATAGAAGTAAAAAGAGGGCACAGTAATATTTTTACATTTATTATTGCAAAAGCAAAAGTGCAGTGTTGATATATACTTGACTTACTTTATGTTACTGCTAACATAAGTCAGTCATTGATTTATAAACCTCATGGAACCAGGGTCTCAAAACATGCTACTTATAATATTAAGTTAATCAAATGTCCTATATATTTATTTAATAATTTCTTTGACTTAATTAGATTTATAATATCTTAAATTTGAAACAGTATGCTTATCTAGTAAGACAGAAATTTATCCTAGTAGATGGAACAGTTAATGCACTTTTCTAATGTAAATTCAGACAGCATGGAACAAGAACACTTTTATGAATAAACGTCTGTCTAAAATCTTCCTACTCAAGAGTGTAGGTCCAGGGGCATTTGCATCAACTAGGAGCTCATGGACTCCAAATCCACCATTTTCACTACTGGATCCAAACCTGCATTTTGTCCCAATACTCCAAGTCATTCATATGCAAGTAAGATTGGAAGTTGGTGGGAGAATAGTTTATTGTAAATTGCATATGCCTTTGATGTGAAGAAAAGATAAACCCAGCAAGTATGAATGACTTATCTGGTCTGAAAATGTTAGTAAATTTTAAAGAAGCAAAAATTATATATGATCTGTAAGAAATTAGAAATGCTGGAAAAAATAAGATAAAAATCATTAGAAAATACAAAAAATGTGTAATACATAGTATTTAGGGAAATCGAGGGTTGAAAGCATCATCATACATGTAACATGAAGTGGTAGATAGCTAGAAGTTATTCAGTAATAGATCACAATGGTCATTATTTCATTGCCAATTCGAATTATTAGAGATTTCCTTAAAAGCAGAACATAGCTGAGGCTTGTGTACCTCCCATGCAGTTAATGACACCATTTGCTAGGAAGATAAAGATTAACCAGCAAATATACAGAGATGGGATGGAAGACTGATGATGACATAGGAAGAACTGATTTATGAGGAAAGAGAAAAATAATTAAATGGGCAATACTATGCTATAAAAAGAGGCTATAGCGACATGGATATTTATCTATTGTTACTCCAGTGCTGTTTTCTATATATACTACAGTGTATGAAAAATGCAGAGCTGTAAGGATGTAAGGGTGCTGAGAAGTTGCTTATAGAGAAAAACAATATCAACTAGAATTACTCAAATTAGGGATAATATCAAAGATTAAGTTTCAGAAAATTGTACCTAGTGCATAAGAAATGACCCTGAGCAACATGACTATCTCTGGAACTTTAGAAGGATCTGTGGGCAAAGAATAAAAAATTATTTATTAAGTTGTTGAAGTATCTCCCTAGAGAAATAATTGGAATCTCTTCCTTTGAAACTTCTGTAGTTGGGGCAAAAAAAAAAAAAAAAAAAAGAGACCTCAAAGAAAAAATTAAAGGTCTCATTTGGCCATTTATTTTACTTATATTTTCCTAAAAGGACTGGGTATGTAGCTCAGTATAATGGCCCTGGGTTCAATCCGTTGGGGCAAAAAAAAAAAAAAAAAGACTAGGATGCCACGTGTGAGAATCCTCTCTACTTGTAGTAGACACCTGGTGATTGATGAGTTACATTTTTCTTTTGCAACAACTTTGATTATTGATGATGTTACCATACATATATTTTTTTCATTAGCTTGGTATCCTATTTAAATAAAAAATGCCATCTTCTATAAAACATCTAAAATATCATTCATTTTTCCTCTGTAGTGCCTGCCACATTGGTAACTAGCATTTTCTTGCTCTTTTTTTCCTTTTCACTCTATAATTAAGAGATGCACTTCACTGCATAGCACAATTGAATTAACTTTATTTGGAAGTTAACAAAACAAGCACAAAATGCACCTTGCCATTTGGAGCCATTCTTCAAATGGGTGCAGAAACTCTGAAAGTCTGAAATCATTGAGTGCTTCAGACAACCTAGTGATTATTTTTACTAGAAGAAAAGCCAGATCATTTTGCCAAGGGGTAATGATCTGAGGATCCTGGATTTTCTTCTCCTTCCTCCTGTAGCCCAGGCATCATCTGAACAGGGAAGCCCGGCACCCCAATTCTGTGAGTTGGAAAGCAAGTAAAACACAACAAGAATTATTTAATATTCTAATTCATTGCTTTTTCCTGCTCTTTCAGATCCACTTTAGGAGTTCTAGTTGAATTAAGTATTGCTAAGAATAATTCAAATCAAATATACTGGAAATGTTAGACATACTATTTTATGTTAGTGCATGGGAACATTTGCCAAACTTAAATATTAAGTCACATTAATTAAATTACTTCAGTTTTTTCATAAATGAATTGGTTTTTTATGGCATTTTAAAAGTAATGTTTAGTTTTGTTATTTTTGACTTAGTGAACTTGCTTCAGTTTTAGGAAATTCTCTTTGCCTATAGAAAAGTTATCCTTTTGTTCTTCAAAAAGATCTGGAAGGGAAAATAAAAAGGGATTATATTCTGCTTTTATCCATAATACAAAGATAAACTCCTCTATATCCTATTTGTGAAAATGATCCTAACAAATTGTCAGCATTTTACTTGCACAGGTAACAACTGTCTTCAAGGTGAAAACTGACAGAAAAAAATAAAATTGATAAGCCATAATCTTACTTTTCCTCTTCTTGCTTCCTGACTGCTATACCTACCAAAGGGGTGGGAGAGAGTCGTGTTTTTTTTTCTAAATCATTCTTCTAGTGTCATATTGATTTTCTCCCAGGTACACCCTGTGGTCTCAGGTGATCACAAATTTTCTTACTTACTCATATGGATGCAACACCTTGCCCACAGGTTGACATGTGCTACTTGAGCTGTGGTGGCACTGCTCACCATTGACATTTCCTTTTGTGGGGTATACTAAACCTCTTATGTATGAAAAATAAGAAAACAGGCTGTTCACAACAGTATTTTCATGATTTAGAAAGCAATTACTTTTCACCCTAAATATCATTAACCTCCATTAGTGTTGCTTAACATTGCTCCTAACTGATATAACACTGTCTTGGGTTATTTTGTGTGTCTGCTGATATGGGAAGAAAAAAAGCCCCTCACTTAAGTCTCAAAATATTCTACTGCTATGGTGTTTTGTGGCAAAAATTGTATTAATTGTCTGAGAGAGTACATGGTGACCTGCCTGTATGCCGTTGTGGTTGTTCTTCTTTCCTCTCATCCCACTTCCCTCTGTTTCAGCTAGCTGTGAGGTGGTTGGAACATAACTGCCATTACCAGTACATGGATGAGCTTCTGCAGTATATCCGCTTTGGCCTAATGGATGTGGATACTCTCCATACAGTTGCCCTGTCACACCCCCTGGTCCAGGCAAGTGAGACTGCAACCGCCCTTGTCAACGAGGCCCTGGAATACCACCAGAGCATCTATGCACAGCCTGTCTGGCAGACCTGCAGGACTAAACCACGCTTCCAGTCAGACACACTATATATCATTGGTGGGAAAAAGCGTGAGGTCTGTAAAGTCAAGGAACTTCGGTATTTTAATCCTGTGGACCAGGAGAATGCTCTCATAGCTGCCATTGCCAACTGGAGTGAGCTGGCTCCCATGCCAGTGGGGAGGAGCCATCACTGTGTGGCAGTCATGGGGGACTTCCTATTTGTAGCAGGAGGGGAAGTGGAGCATGCCAGTGGCAGAACGTGTGCAGTGAGGACTGCTTGCCGCTATGACCCTCGTAGTAATTCCTGGGCAGAAATAGCACCCATGAAAAACTGCCGGGAGCATTTTGTATTGGGTGCCATGGATGAATACCTCTATGCAGTTGGGGGCAGAAATGAACTACGGCAAGTTCTGCCTACAGTTGAGCGATACTGCCCCAAGAAGAACAAATGGACTTTTGTGCAGTCCTTTGACAGATCCCTTTCATGTCATGCTGGATATGTGGCTGATGGTCTTCTTTGGATATCAGGTAGAATGTACCTCATATGTTGGATTTATCAAAAAACTCCTTCACTGTGGCATAAATTTAAAAGTCAAGCTTTGGTAGTGTAGTCATGTTTAATTGAACAATTGAGCCAACAATGCCATTTTTAGCTAATAATCATTTTTTGAGCACCTGCTCCATAAAGAACAATATAATTTAAAGTATTTGTTCTGTGACTTTCTGAGTGATTAGTGATGTAAAAATTCAAGATGGAAGGTAATGGTTCATCACACCTGTTTTTCTTCTATTGTCTACATTATTAGCTTTTGATTATTCTGGGGTTATATTGCATACTTTGTGGTTTATTTGGTTTCTTTCCTTTTTCTTTTATTCTTGGATCCCTGGCTAGGAGCCATTTCTTCAGAGATAACTCAGGAGAAATAAAAGCTCAGTAAATCCATTTTGCTGGGTATAAAAATGGGTATGTATCCAGGTATTAGCTATGCTGTGCATTGAAGGAAGGAATTTAAGTTACTAAAAGCATTTGTATTATCTATAAATGGTATTACTCATGCCATCCTAATCTTTCATTCCTATTTACTTTCCCTTTTTTTACTGACTATATTGGGATATAGTTTGAGCTCTACCTTATTTTACTTTTTTGTTGTTTCCATTTTAACCTTTTGGTTATGGAAAAAGCAGAGACAAATATACTGAACTCCACATACCTATAACCCAGCTTTAACCATTAACCATTTATTGCTAGTCCTTGTTCTATCCCCACTTTCATATCCTTCCAGACCTCTCCTGGCTACAGTTTTGGATATATAGGAGTCTGTGTAGCATCTGCTATCAATATCCCCAAATTGACCTGTGCTTTCAATCTTATTGTGGAGAAATAGCTGAAGTGCTGTCCTTTGAAAAGTTTGGCTATCAGGGAACAAAGTTGCATCTTCTCTCACATGGAGGGTAAATACCTATATTGTAACTCAGATAGAACTTGGATTTTTGGGTTATCAAGGACAAAGAGGAATAGGAAGATAAATAAATGTTATGGGTAGTGGTGCTATTTGTACTTGGAAGAAATGATGTTTTAGGAGGTAGATGTTTCTCAGCTTTTCTCAATAATTATCTCCAGTTTTTTTACACCTGTTTTGACAGAATTCTCCCTTGCTTTAAATATGTTTGCACTCTGTTCACTTTTCTTCTGCTGTCCTCATAACTAGAGAGACAGTCCTAGGCTCGTCTTCTCTAGGTGATGCCTCAATTATTGGTAATTCCCTAATTTTCATTGTTGTAACCTAGGATTAAGTGCTTAATAAATTAATGAACGAAGTTAAGATAGTAAGGAAGAGGATAAATGAGAGTCCAATAATTACTGGTCCCATATACAAAATGAACATGAAAAATGAGTGTATATGTTAGTGCATGTAGATACATTTAATAAAAACTTTATCTGGTGGCATCTTCCTTGTTCTTTAAATATGTATTTCAACAGTTAAGAAAAGAACCACCAGGACTATATCCTGTTGGTTTGGCTGAAGAAACTTCAACCTGGCTACAAATAAGTACTTGGTAACAGAAGAAACAGATTTGTACTTTCTTGGACAACAGAAAAATGATGGATTTATGAAATCAGTGCAATTTGTTTACTCCCAATGTACATTCCTTCTATTGATTTATTTGATTTTATATTTTCTCATTGTACTCTATTTCTAATTTTGGCATTGTACTTCTTAAATTTTGTATGGATTTCTCAATATTATAACAAATATTCCTTGTTTTGGACTGTAAAACTAGCTTTTTAAAAAAATTCCAGGGTTTCCCTTAAATAGTCTTAAAGCTATGGCAACTTAATATTTTTCAGTGAGGCCTAAGAAAGCACAGGAGCTCATTTTAGACTGGCTAGATTGATCATCCTGGTATCAAGTTGAGTATCCTTTCAATATAGGCCTATATGTTTCCTTTTCCATTTTATTAAATCTATCAATGTATTATATATCTTTTGCTATCCCACTTTGTCTCCTACTGTAAATAGAAATACATTTTCTTTGTTCTTCTTTTGCACTAATGTATGCAGCCTGTGTTAACCATACTTAATGAAAACAATATCAATTTTCTCAGGTTTGTTTCTCCCTACTGTGTACTTAAGATGAGAAACTCACTTTCCTGTGTACAGTACAATACCTGTAATTGGAAAGAAGAGGAAATCGCCAGTGACATTTCTAATACCTTCAGCCATCTGCCTCTTTCCTCAGGCCCAGTTTATAATAAATCAATTGTGAATCTAAACATGACTAGGGAGGGGTGGCCAGATTTGCTAACAGGGCCTTTTAAAAAGGCAGGTATATATCACCCTCCATATTTCTGATTTAGAAATGTGCACCTATTTATTGGAGCAGATGAACATGTTTGAAGTTCTTCTTATCTTTGACCAAATAATCAAATATTTCCAATTTAATTGATGGGGATTGAGTCATTGGCATCTGTCTGGTATTTTGCAAGCTTTGCCTGAGGTAGCAGTAGTATAGATTATAGAATGTGGATTTCAGAGGCTTAGTTCTGTTCCACAGAACACAAAATGAATGTTTCTTTAGAGACTCAGTATTTCCAGCATGCTCCCTCCCTCTCTGTTCCCTTTCCCTTTTTTTGTTCATTTTGGGGCCAAGGCATCTTGAAAACTTTCCATAGTTTTTAAAGTGTGATAAGCAGAGAGGAATTCAGAAAAATCAGGCGGTATGGCTATACACATTAGCATTTAATTTAAGATGTTAGAGATAGTCAAATTTTACAGGTTCCTGTAGAATTTGACATTGTGACCCAATTCACAAATACTCCATCCCATTTCAATCTGAAATTCACAGTACTGAAGTAAAATAAGCATTAAATATCCTGCAGCTGTGCTTTAAAATATACAGTCTCTGTTGTAAGGTATAGTTTCTGAACTACTAAAAAGATCCTATTTTTGTGAAGAAAATTTAATCCTGAGCTCATCTTGAAGCACAACTTTTAATTTTTATCAAGTGGAAGCAAGATAATGAGGAGCTAGCTACAAAATTAGCACTTTAAAACTATAAAAATAAGACAAATGCTACTGCATTTACTCAAAAGCAATATATTTGATGCTTTCCTGATGTTCTGGTGAATGCTATGTTCTTACGTAGTGCTGTGTCACAGATACAAGATTAATTTTGCAAACACTTCCTACCCTCTAGGAGCTGACAAGGTTTTTCGGATATTCCATTAATGAAAGAACATTTGTTAAAGCTTCTTTAATTTCCTAGAAGCTATGTTTGTTTTCATCTTGATTAAATTTATATAAAGCTTGCATTCTTCTCATTTAAAATAACTTTAATGTATTCATATCCACTAAAGGGACTTTGGATTTTCTAGTGTCTATTAAAGTTATAAAAACATAAACTTTCATTAACATTTTTAAAATATCATAGTTTTAGCTTTCTGAGTGAAGATATTATTTTTCTAGCACCTAAATTTTAAATAGAATATATTGGGAACTAACAGCAGATTTCATGGAGGTTGAGTTGTCGTGTGCTAAGACAACACAGTATAGTTGCACACATGTGTGAAATTGCCCCACTTCTTACCAGTCTTGAGATGCTGAGCAAAGTTCCTAACCTTGCTACGTCTTCTCCCAGGCTATGCTCCAGTAGCAAAGCAGTCCAGTTAGTATGGTGGCATGATGGTAGAAGTTTTGCAAGGTCCAGAAGCAACACAGTGCAGGGAGTAATGATTACAGAGGACAAGTAAGATAGGATAGCCTAATCTGGTCTCAGGTTTTTGGCTACTTTGTATATATCCATTAATCCCTACCTGGCTTTCCCCTTGAACTTTATGGTCCAATCATTTCAATAATTGTGCCCTTAGGCAAACACAGTATTGGACAAACCCAGTGAACCACTTTGTTCCTCATTATCCACTGTGAAGGGAAATTGGTTTTAGGGCACAAATGCACATGTGTATGTGTACACACACATACCATCAACAGGAAAACTTTAGCTACTCAAGATGCTTTTACAAAATTGTGTAATATTTGCCTAAAACCTATCACATCACCACATATCCTAAAATGTAAATGCTATGTAAATAGTTATTTTACTATATTATTGAGGGAATAATGACAAGAAAAGTATACATGTTCAGTACTGATGAAAAAATGTTCCCAAATATTTTCTAACTGTAGTTGGTTGAATCCATAGTCATGGAACCGATGGGTACAAAAGGTTGAATTGTATGTAAGCAGTAAAATTCAACTGCCCCTCCCTAGACTCCCTATGGGAGGGGGCCACTAACAGGAAGGTTTGGTGGGCCATCTCCTCAGCTCACTAAGCATGTGACACTCCAGCACTCCCTATGTGCTACTACTCTTCTCTCACCCTCTCTACTTCACTGGATCTAACTTCTTCACTTTCATCAAGATTCCTTCCTGAGACTCCCAGAGAGGACCTTGCCTTTGTTTCCCTAATAGGTGGAGGTAGCAAATAGTGTGAGGAGACATACGGGCATGAAATAGTCGGGAAACAGGCCAAGCTTGGGAAACACTAGCAAGGAGGGTGTTGGGTGGGGCACTCAGGAAGAAATCAGAAAATGAGGGATGGACAAGGTCAGAGGAGGAGGAGAGGGGTGTTACAGGAAAGTGCAATGAGGGAGATCTGTTCAAGACCATAGAGACATCAGAGTCCAAAATATGTCCACCATGCTTTTCAATCAGGAGAACTGCAGCGAAAGCAATTTCAGAGGAGTGGAAGAAGGTAGAAACTAGAACAGAGTAGTTTAAAGTGTGACTGGAAAAGTAAGAGTAGAAACCACAGATACAAGCTACACTGGCAAAAAATTGGAATAAGGTTATCTTGACCTAATATCCATGGACAATGAATGTATCATCTAAACTTCATCTCTGAGCCTGAGCTTATCAAGAAACTTCCCAATTATTATCTAGCTTGTTGTGCATTCTTATCTAGAGGAACAGAATGAGTTGTTTCTAAGTTCCACACATATTTCAGTCCACAGGAGACCCACAGATTTTT